GACTATATCTGAAATTAATCAGCGACTCAGAAATGTTACTAATTGTAATATTTCAATTTGTCCCTGTAATTAAATGTAAATTTACGTCAACTTTGCCCCATTATTTAAATTTTATCTGGTTTTTGTCAATTTTTTTTATAGTAATTTTACCATTTTCAGTTGTTAAGCTTGTTACATCACCTATGTAACCAAACAAGTCTACTTCGTTCAACATTTCAGTCCAACAACTTATGTTTTCGTTTGGACTGTTTTCAGTCCCAGACCAAACCAAACCAAACTTAAACAGACCAGACCAAACCAGACCAGACTTAAACAGACTAGACCAGACCAGACTTAAACAAACCAGACTAGACCAGACTTCCGTAGTTATAAAATACACAGAGACCAGACGTTTACCAGACCAGACCAGACCAGACTTAAACAGACCAGACAAAACTTAAACAGACTAGACCAGACCAGACTAGACCATCAAATTTCAGTCCAAAAGAAAACATCCCAAGTGATAGACACTAGGCTTCATCTTTAACTCATTTTTCTAAACATAGCTTGGGCCAATTAAGCCAAATTCATACTCCCTCCGTCCCGTTGGAATGTTCCCGGTTTGACCTACACACATATTAAGGAAATAAACTTACCAGAGGGTAAATTTTACTGTTTGGACACTGTTTGACACTGTTTTGCACTGTTTGACACTGTTTTCATGTAGGATAACTTTCCATTTAGGGAAATGAGAACTTTCCATTGGGACATCCAAAAAAAGAAAGTGAAACATTCCAACGGGACGGAGGTAGTATTTATCAACAGACCCTCGACGTATTTAAAATTTGATCCCAATTGACACATATTTGAATCATAATATATAATTAAGTTGTTCGATTATTCAATTTCTAGCCTATCAACTATTTGTTTTATCAAATACATATTTGAATCATAATATATAATTAAGTTGTTCGATTATTCAATTTCTAGCCTATCAACTATTTGTTTTATCAACTATTTGTTTTATCAAATACATAACTTTTAATTACGCGTGTTGAATGTCGTAATAATGAAAATAAGTAAAGTTGAAACATATGATAATCTATTTATATATAAGAAAAGAAATGTCTCATAAAAATACAATTTTACCCTTAATTCTCTCCTTAATTCTCTCATTTCATATAGCAATGCCACATGTCCATTTTACCTCAAAAGTACCGAATTCTCCAATGGTATAGAAAGGGAGCAGCCGCACGGGATGCAATTGGTGGGGCCCAATATATAAAAAACCCCAATTTTCTTTAAAGTGTTATAACCTTTTCATTTATAATCCATTTTTTTTTACAAAAATATCAAAATTCATAATTTTTTGTGATCTTTAATTTGAGATCAATATTGAATATATAAAAATATAATTTATTAAAGGGCTCTATAATTATGCTTCAAATTACTATACATACATTTTTTGATCTATTTTGCTGTCAAAATTGGGAAAGTCACTATAGGTGATCATTTTTAGCTACATTTCGTAAAATGTTTTTCTTTATTTCATTAATAAAAGTAATTTAAATTAAATTTATCCATACACCAAAAGATTCAACTAAATCAACCACTGCTCTAAGAATTTCATCCATTTCAACAGATTCAACTAATTTGAGTACTACTAAACGGTCTCTAAAATCAAAATCAGACCATGAAAGGAAAAATCTAAAAGTACTAAATTTATTTAAGAATCAAAAGAATCAATTTCAATCAATTCAGCCACTTCTGTTAAAATTTCATCAATTTCAAAAGAATCAGGTGAAGTAGCCAATTTCAGTGTTACTAAACTGACTCCAAATTTCAAAATTAGAACATGAAAGTAACAATAGATCAGTGGCTAATAAAAAGGGACTTTTTGAAAAGCGACTATTAGAAGTAAACAACTGAGAATCTTACAAAAGAGTTTCAGATGATTCCTAATGTAACAATTGGCTAAGATTCATTTACTTTTTTACGTACTCAACCACAATCTCACGTTTTCAATTTATTCCCACATTCATAAACTCCGATCCAAGTCAAATCGGGAAGAATTTTATGAGACGGAGGGAGTATCATCATCATCGTCGTCGTCGTCGTCATCGTTGTTGTTGTTGTTGTTGTTATTGTTATGGTTGTTTTTGGTGTTATTAATGTTATTATTATCATCAGTGAATCAAATCACCTTTAAAAGTAACAAGAATGAGATAGACTTACAACAGAGTTTCAGATGATTCCTGAATAATATCTTTATAATATGTAAGTGACTCGAAAATATAAACATACTTGAATTTGGTTACTATTGTGGACTTCCAATTTTGTACATACAAACACGATAGACTTATGAGCACCCTCTATTGATCAAATATTATTCTTGAAAAGATCTCTATAATGAACACAGTGCTAGAAAGAGTATCATACAGTGTCTTGACTTCAAGTGTTTTTTAAAATCATGTTCACAGTATCATAGTTTTGGATGAGAGAGAATCAAAGTTGATTTATCAATAAATGACGAAATGATATGGTTCTTACAAAAAATTTATTTGTTCACGAGTCAATGGACCATGAGTGAAGCACTAGAGTAGATTATCAACTCAAATAAGAAGCCAAATGAAAATAAACTTGCGAATCAAAGGTTCACTCTTCATGATAATAAACCTGCATAGTAGAAGTTCTTGCAATAGAAAAGATATACTCTGTATGAAAAATACTCAAAGAACTAACAATCTAATGGTGGAAAGTTAATCAAAATGGAATATAATTATGTAATCACGTAATGAAAATGTGGAAGGCGCCACAGCATGAGGACTAAGTCACAGTCCAGAGATTTCCTTTGGGTATAGTCTTAGACTTTCCTTTCCTATACTGTTTTATTTTCTCTTTTGTTTTCCTTTTCGCATTGTACAATTTACTTTTATTTATTCTATTTACTTCTATTCCATTTAATTCTCTCATTTGTTATAGCAATGCCACGTGACCATTTTACCTCAAAAGTACCGTAGTGGTCTAGCTCTCCTTAATTCTCTCAAAATTTTCTCTCTTCCATATGTAGTGCTTTTAGGTATAACATAAGTCGACTAATAATTGAACGGGAGAATTTTCTCTCTCATATGTAGTTTTTTTAGATATGACAAGATAAGCTTGCTTGCTAATAATTAAGCGAAAAATTTCTCTCTCATATGTAGTGCTTTTAGTTATTAAAAGATAAAGTTGCTAAACAGTTGAGCGGGGGAATCATCACATATGTAGTTCTTTTTAGGATCTGTTTTTTAAAAAGAGATTCTGCTTCTAAAGTTGCTAGAATTTTGCAACAACTTCTGCTTTTAAAAAAGTGCTTTTTTTAATGAAATGTAGAGAAGTGATTAAATAAAAGTTGATAGTGTTTGAGAAAAAAGTGATTTTGAAATGTAAAAGTGGGTAGTGTTTGGTAAAATAAGTGTTTTTTGTGTAATAGAAAAAGTAAAAGCACTTTTGACGCGGAAGCCGAGAAAAATAAAAGTTGTAGTGTTTGGGAAAATAAGTGTTTTTTAAGGCTAAAAGCTGAGAAGTGCTTTTTTAAAAGTAGTTGCAAACCAACCCTTAATATAAGATAAGCCGACTAACAATTAAAAAGTATACATTTTTCTCTCATACATAGTGCTTTTAGGTATAAGACAAGATAATCCGGCTAACAATTGAGTGAGAAATTTTTTTCTCATATGTAGTTGTTTGGGGTATAACATGATAAGCCAACAAGAATTGAGCAGCATATGTTAGCACTAATTTACTAATGAATGACAAGTTATTATTTAACTAATATTCGTAACCTTAATATTCATTGTTATCACTTAAACTTTATGTCACTCACTTATTGTACTCACTTTTTTAGAAAATTATTTTATTTTAAAATTAATCTAATCATGAAAATGAATAAGTGGCAAATTCTAATGAGTAGTGTCAATTATTTTTCCTAATATACTCTTCATTGAATATATATTTTATGGGCTTATATTTTATAGTATTAGCTGATTGAACTACTATTTTTTTTCGAAAATGTAGAATCCTAAAATGTTGTTTTTATTTTAATATTTAATTACATCATCATTAAAAATATAAACACCAAATGCTCTATCCCGTGCGTATGCACGTGTACTATACTAGTACTTTTTGTAAATGAATTAACTGAAGTTACTATATAAAAGCCTTTTATTTATTTTTTCATGTAATTTTTTTTAATGCAATACTCCGTATATTTTAAAAATCATATTTAAAATTTACTAATGAATGACAAGTTATTATTTAACTAATATTCGTAACCTTAATATTTATTGTTATCACTTAAACTTTATGTCACTCACTTATTGTACTCACATTTTTAGAAAATTATTTTATTTTAAAATAAATAAGTGACAAATTCTAATGAGTAGTGTCAATTATTTTTTCCTAATATACTCTTCATTGAATATATATTTTATGGGCTTATATTTTATAGTATTAGCTTTTATTTTAATATTTAATTACATCATCATTAAAAATATAAACACCAAATGCTCTATCCCGTGCGTATGCACGGATACTATACTAGTACTTTTTATAAATGAATTAACTAAAGTTACTATATAAAAGCCTTTTATTTATTTTTTCATGTAATTTTTTTTTAATGCAATATATTTTAAAGATTTAGCTCATTCATCCGTTTGGATTACAAATTTACCTATTTGAAAAAATTAAGCCGATTGATCCGATTTACGTAAACAAACGTGCGCATCATTTTCACATTTTGAAAGAACCTGTCGGGTCATTTAATGGATCTCCAAACCTGTCAATGGATGCTTTAATTTCAATCACAGGGAGGATTAATATTTAAAAACTAAAAGTGGATACTAATTTTTTTCAAAGCCGTATTTGTCGGAGACAATAATGATAATACAGTTTCTATAATTAATTTTTGTATGGATTTGTGTATAATACTCCGTAATAAATAAATAAAAGCCTAAAATTTATTGACAAAAGAGGAGAGAGAAGCGAGCTGAGAATGTTGCGTAACATACGATACGCTATATATATTTATATATACTGTGAGAAGATATATACAAGAAATGTATCTCCGTATATTTAGAGAGAGAAACTCGGGAGAAGAAGATGGAGATGGGGAGATTCACATATATATACAGCGCGGTCCCCAAATTTAACGCCGCTTGAGATAGAGATAGAGAAAGAGATAGAGATAGAGAGAGAAATCAGAGTGCCGGCGGCAATGGGAGACTCGTGCGGCTCTGTGTCGGTGGACATTGATACCATCTCCGTCGCCGGAAAGGTTTTCTTCCTCTTCACATTTATCTCCGTTAACGCATGTACATGTCTCTGAAAATATCTCTGTTTGTATAAACGAGCTTTGAATTGTGCAATGGTTTCTGAATTTCTGCGCACATTTCACCCCTTGATTTATGTGTAAAGTTTGCGAGATTTTGGGTAATTTCGTGTCCGGGAAAATTAGAGTTTCTTTTGTTTTTCAAGTTTCTTTAAAGTTCAGTGCAAGAGAGCTCGTTAAACAACATTTTAATGCGGTTTGATTGACATGTCTATTGAGCTCTGAATCTGGGATGATATGTACGGGTTCTCGCGAATGCCTAATAGGAGTAATTTACTCTGCTATGGCTCTTTATGGATAGATTAATCTTTTCTTGGCAAATAAAAGAGTTTGAGCTTTTACTCTATCAGGATATTAAGATTGCTTCAATGATTTAACCTTACCTGAATGTGGGTTGTCTTCATCTATTCATATAAAGGCAAAACGTTTCTTTTTTTGGTGGTCTATGAAATTTCGTAGTGCATCAGTTTCAGCAGAGATCCGTTTAGATAGAATTCTCGGTACTTAGTATTCTTGTTAAATATTGGCATTTAGTATGTTACGTGTTAGGTCAGTTTGCTTTTGAGACTAATTACCTTTCTACTTTTATAAATCTTGTTGCTTCCCAATTAACAATCCTAACAGGTCTTAGAAAAACCATATTTCAAGAAAAGAATCATTTTCTTTTTATCCATTAACACAGGAGTGTAAAATTCTCGGGAACTTGTTGGTATTGTGAGATATGGCCTTCTTTATCAATGCTCATATTAGTTGTTTTCTATTTTTGAGAGGGTTCAGTTTATATATAAAGCCATTATATAATCATTTTCTAATTTTTAAAATTTCTAATTTTGATTTTTTTGTTTCATGTGATCCGGGTGAATAATCCTCACCTTTGACCAGACTGTAAAGTCCAAGAAGAATATTCATTTACCCGTGAATCTATAAGATAATACGAATAAATAGTTAATTTTTATTATCCGGAACTAGAAGATACTTTACTTGTGCTTGAGCAAATTCTTTTTTTCTCAGCTGGCTTATAGAATATTGAGATAAAAGAAACCATGAAGAAAGGGACATAAGTCACATTACTGCTGTATCTTCAATTGGAAGCTTTATCATCATTGGCCTATGTTTTACTATGTTACGCTATGGTTAGTTACTTTACTGATTAGTTTTTAAATGCACTTTTTTTCTCAGGAGCATATTGTTAAAACTGGCAACGGTTCCATCTCTGTAACAGTTTTTGGAGACCCAGACAAGCCTGCTCTTATTACTTATCCTGATCTGGCTTTGAATTGTAAGGGCATTAATTTAATTTTTCATGGCTTACCTGCAAAATTTCATGACTTCCCATCAATTCCATATTGTGTAATTTTGCCAAGAACCAAAACCCTTTGTTCTCTTTTTCTGGAAGGTTTTGCCACATGCCCACCGCTTAACTGCTTAAGTAACCTATATCAAACTTTTTTAACAACTTCAAATAATGAATTCCTAAAATCTGTTGCTTTTTAGCGTGTTTGGTCAAAATATGAATTTCTCCTAGGCGCTCCTAATTTATCTATTTGTTTGATGTTTTTGAACAGATATGTCATGTTTCCAAGGGTTGTTCTATTGTCCAGAAGCATTTTCTTTGCTACTGCATAATTTCTGTATATACCACATAAGTCCTCCTGGACATGAGGTCTGACCTGGTCTATATGATTGCCTTTTTATTAAACATTTATAATACTCACATTTGTTCTAATCTGCATTTCTGGCAAGAGCTTTTGCAGTTAGGAGCTGCTGAAATTAGTCCTGAAGAGCCAGTATTATCTGTAGATGATTTAGCAGACCAGATTGCAGAGGTTCTAGATTACTTCAGGTATTTATAGTGTATATTTCTATGTTGATATTGAATGAGGACATAAGTATAATTTGTAAATTGAAGCTTGTGTAACTTTGTTCTGAAATTCTTCATTCCTTATGCAGACTCGGTGCAGTTATGTGTATGGGAGTTACTGCTGGAGCTTATGTTCTTACTCTGTTTGCAGTAAGTTATTACTTTTTTCCAAATTCTTATTCTTGGTTAGGAAATGGTCTTGTTTGCTGAGACAGATGTTTCATACCACAGATTAAATACACAAAACGTGTTATGGGTCTGATTCTTATTTCTCCTCTGTGCAAATCACCCTCATGGACAGAATGGCTATGTAATAAGGTATATTTCTTCCTACCATATACTTGCAGCGTTGATGTAAATGAAAACTAATATGTTTTTCTCCATACTTGTTGCAAAATTGACAGGTTATGTCAAATCTGCTGTACTTCTGTGGCATGTGTAGTTTCATTAAGGAATTACTGCTCATGCGGTACTTTAGCAAGGTGCTTTTCGCCTCATATTTTGATCTTGTTTTTTGAAAGGATACTTTGAACTTGTTAAATACAAGTAAAGAATTTGCTAATCCCATGATATTAAATTGCAGGAGGCTCGAGGTAGTGTAGAAGTACCTGAATCAGATGTAGTTCAGGCATGCAGAAGAGTAAGTTCTTCAGCTTTTCTAATCTTCCTTACTTGAATTATTACTTATTTATTTTATTAATTAAAATATAAAACACTATGGAAAAGCTGGGATTTTGCAGGTTTGCTTAGTTTAACACAGCAGTATATCTAAATTTATGGCCTATGTGATCTATATTGCAGTTGCTTGGTGAGAGACAAAGCCCAAATGTCTGGCGGTTTCTAGAAGCTATCAATGAGTATGTTATTTTTTCCCCAATAATTAGACATTATATTTGAATTCTGCCTTGTTTTTCTCATTTTACTTTATTCTCACTTGGTGATCTGTTGCTAAGAACTGGTGATCTGTTGCTAAGAATTGCCTGACATGATAAATATGTTTACTGTGTGTTCCTATTCACTTGGTGCTTCATTTCAAGCCCTCTTTTAATGAAGTTTTAAAAAATCAGATTCTTAATGGTTTATGACTGACTATATGAAGTCAGATTGGAAACATTCTCTCTCTATGCCACGCAAATCGTATTTCCAATGGCTAGTGTGGAGCATTAGTTGCTAAAACAATATGAGTTGTAAGATTTAATCGCACGTCTTGCTTTGGCAGGAGACCAGACATCACAGAAGGCCTACGGAAATTGAATTGCCGTTCATTAATATTTGTTGGGGAAAATTCTCCTTTCCATTTGGAGGCTCTCCATATGACTTCAAAGCTTGATAGAAGGTTCAGTGCCTTAGTCGAGGTATGCCAAAAATCTAAGTTCAGTTAATCTTTTTCTGAAAAATGTAAGTTCTCAAAAAACTCGCCTAGCTCTGGCTAGACACTGCTTCATAGCTTATTAATCGCTAGGTCTCCCCATGGCTTTACTGAGTATTTTTTTTAGAACGTTCTCTTAGATGGTTAAGGATCCGTTTGGATCCTGGAAAATGGAAAGGATATAAAATAAAGTGAAACAAGCTAGTGTAGTTTCTAAATATGTAGATTTTGGTTATTGAGAATTATTTCTATATTAGTTGCCTACCTGGGAAAATTTAACTTTGTCATGTCTGAACCAAATTGTGAATCATTTTGGGACGAAAGCAGAAATCTGAGTGTAATTTTTTGAAGTTCTTATCACATATCGAGTGATTTTTCTTCGTGTTTTCCGAAGTCATGCCATGTACAAGGCACATTTGCGTTAGCATTAACACCTTCTCCAAACATAGCCTAAAGGTTCCACAATTCATGTGAAGATGCATTTTATGTGTAGGTTCAAGCATGCGGCTCAATGGTAACTGAAGAGCAACCTGACGCGATGTTGATACCAATCGAGTATTTCCTCATGGGGTTGGGCTTTTACAGGCCATCACATTTCAATGTAAGCCCAAGAAGCCCATTGAGCCCTACTAGCCTCTCCCCCGAGCTCTTCTCACCCGAAAGCATGGGCGTGAAGTTGAAACCTATTAAAACAAGAATTTCAATAGAGGTCTGAGAAAGGCAGGGATGATGATTTTGTGTAAGATATGTGTAGCAAAAAACATCCAGAATTGGTTTGAAGTCAGGGTAGACAGAGGGTTACAGGTGGGATTGTAGATATTGGGAATGGAAATAGAAGGTGAGAGAAATCATAGAAAAGAATAAGTTCTTTTTTTACTCCGTATTTTTTTACATTTTACATTCCAATCTATATTTTCAGTAGTCATATTTTTAGTCCTGATGTACATGGGTACATGACCGAATAAAAATTTATTATTTTTTTATATTAATGATGATTATATTGATGATGATGATAAATATAATATCACGATGACTTTATCGGGTCACGATTCCACCGTTTTTAATATAAAAACATTCCAATTTTTTCTTATAGTATTCTGGTTTACTATCAGATCAGTTTTTTTTGCTATCCTCCCAAAATCAGATCTAATATAGTCTAATATACTACGTATACTATAAAAAGGAGCTGTAATAAAAGAAGGGTGCCGTCTAACATGTGGTTCTTCTAGACATGGCGGCGGGACTAAACATAGTGGATATCCAATCATGCTAGTGTGCTACTACCAGAGGCCAGACTGTCATTACGATATTCTATAACCTATGTTTGAGAACCGGAATGTTGGTGATCCGGAATGTTAAACCCGCTCTCGGGATTTCTTTTACTCATATAATTTTGGTCTAATAAAATTGCAATATTATCCCTTTACATGTTAGAGAATAATGTGCACCATTCACCTATATCATATGTGTTAGGGTTGGGCTCGGGTCGGCCGGGTCGGGTCTAGGCGGTACCGGTTTTGAAAAAGTGAAGCCCGTTACCGATCCAGAATGCTATGCTAGTGGTTCCTGTCCGGACCCAAGCAGTACCTGGCTCGGGTCGATACTCACCGATTTAGTTATTATTATTTAAAAAAAAGCCGTTGAGCCCGGCCGGGTTGGGCCCAAAAAATCAAGCCTGAAGCCCGCTCCTTATAACCATTGGTCCGGCCTCAGGTGCTGGGTTAGTACCGGTTCCCGATCGGTGCAAACAGTACCGGTTCTGGATTGGGTTGCCCGGGCCCCATCCCTGATAATGATATGTGTTAGAAAGAATCAGCTAATGTTAATCATTAATAAAGTTTAAAACTTTTGTTAATCGAGCAAAGAAGGCATTAGTCGAGGTGACCCATGGGTCGGGGGTGAATCGAGTTCACTCATCACTCATCAGTGTAAAATGTGTAATGTCAATCTCCAGTTCAGTGGTTATTAGCATATGAAGTAGTAACGCACCGGGTTAATTAGCTTGGGTTGTGGTTCGATTGTTCGAACAGATAGATTGTTTCTTTCAAGATTTAATTTCACATATCAATTTAGGGGGGCAAAACTGACAGATTATATCAGGTCGGTCTGACGGGAACTGCTTTCAGGTCGAAGTCGTTTGGGGTCATTTTTGATGGAATTTTTTGATGAAATTATTTAAGCATGTTCTTCATCGAGACTAATTTATGCCCACCAAATTTCAACTAAAAATTCAATCAGGAAGTCAATCTAATGTGGAATTGAAAAATATTGCGTTGTTTACACATATATACAAAGTGCAATGTTTGATTGCTTTCCCAATTAAATTTATGCTGAAATTTGGTGAGAATAAACTAGACTTGACGAAGAATACTCTAAAAAAAATTCATCAAAAAATGCCACAGTAAAAACCCCCAACCAGCTTGGTCAGATGTCGGCTCATGTCAAGCCAACCTGACAAGATTGCTACTCTCAATTTAGAACTTAAATATGAAGGCTATAAGTTTCTTTGCTTGATCTACTATGAAGCTTTCCCAGGCATTCATTTTACATTCGTCCTATACGGCTATACATCCCATGTAATTATAAATAATAATTATTCCATAAATACAACAAGAAAAAAATCCATAAAAAACATTGAATATGTTGGTGCAGTTATTTAAGTAATTAACATTGCATGTAACAAATCATCCCTTTCTACGTTTTTGCACCCTTTTGCAATTGTTTCCGTGTTTTCTCTAAATTTAGGTCTAATCAGTCTCAAACTCCCGGATTAGTCCGGATCGCCAGGCAATTCAGGGTTTAGGTGGATTTGCGGTTTAGTACCTTACCAAACCAGATTTGATGTGTCCCGAGTTAACTCGTCTAGCACTCACATTTTTTTGCATTAAAAAAATCAAAAATAGTGCTAGTAAAAAAAATAGTGCTAGTGTTTCTACTAATAGTTACACAATTGAAAACTGAAAGTACAAGCACAAACATTTTAAATAAATTGTTTTTCACAAAGGTAATTTTTTTCCATGGAGCATTCTAACTTTTGCAATTCCAAAATCACTTTTAGTAGAATCTCTAAAATAAACCACTTCTTAAAATAGAATCAAATGCAAACGCCAGTTAATTTGAGGTTGAAAACTTTCTCCAAACAAACATAAACAACAATTGTAGGAGAAAGTATACTCCGTATATAATTGGGATTGGGCTATTCAGGGTCTATACCGTATGATTGAAATTAGTTACATACTATCCTCAGTTTTTTTTAATCACAACATGCTGAATTTTACACTATTCACGTGTTTAACTTTGGCTACATTTTATGGTATTATTTTTACGAAAATTATTATTTTTTAAAAATATTGTTCAATTCATCTCATTACATATTTTCAAAATCTGATTTTTAATTATTTTTTACTAATAGAGATTAAGATATAATTACGGTCAAAACGTGCGTTGTTGCAAATAGGAGTCAACCGAGTGACCTTCCAATGTTATTCCACATCTCTCTCACCAACTGATCCAAATATATTAGTGCACATAATGTGACGGTTTTAGAATAATAATATCTCTTAGATTTTACACAACGAAGAATGTGTAATACCTCTAAGAAACTCTTAACACTTCCTCCGGCGAATCTAGTAATAACATCATTGGGACGAATCCCGGCTACGTCAGCCGAAGAGCCTGGTAAAATCTATTTGATAGTGCGCATATATGTATCAAATCATCCGAGTAGTAAGAAGAATTATTTTAGTAGATGCATAGAGAACGTCAAGAGAAATTTTTAAGAGAAATCTATGAACAAAAGCACTTAGTTTTATGTACTGAACTTTACTTTTAAGAGGGATCTTTTTAACATAATTGGGAGCCTATAGGAGGGGAGCCTTGATGCACCAGTTACGGGGTTTGTGTGTCTGAGAGGTCAGAACTCACAAGTTCACTTCTTGGGAGCACCCTCTTGTCAAAATAACAAGGGAAGGCTTACTACTTATGCATTTTTGTTGTGGGTCCCTTCCTGCTTACTACTTATGCATTTTTGTTGTGGGTCCCTTCCCCGGATCCATGTCTTTTGGGACGTGGGACACCAATGTGTATACGGCTGCCTTTTTAACGGGAAGCCTGTTCTAGTCTTTCGTCCCAAAGTCTGAATCTGCATCAAGACCGCACTCGCGATAGAATTTTGAAACAAGTTGGAAGAGTGGGGGAATGTATATATATACTATGTACCTCTTCAACCATAGCACCATGGAAGGTAGCGTTTTGGACAACCTTTTCTAGAATGTCCAGGCTCATAGCATAGAGGTTGGTAAGTTCCATAGCTAGCAATGGTCGGTGGATTTGCCTATCTCAATCCAAACATTAACAGTCAGTCACATCAATAATAGTGAACTGCCATTGGGCAAACACATTTGCTATTTTATTATAGGCTTAAATGGGTTTTTGTTCCATGTAATACATGAAATTTCCTTTTTAGTTCCTTTATGATTGAAGGATATTCTTGATCTAGAAAAATTAATATAATGTAGATTGAATAAATCTACGACTAGCTTTTAATTTAAGCTATGTATAGTACAACATTTTACAGGCTAATAGCCTGATAGTGAATTTAAGTGAAGTAATACTCCGTTCTAATCTTTCATTTTTAAAATGGGAAGGTTCCCGAAATAGGACTAAAACAGTTTGAAAATTCCAAAATAGGACTGTCATGTTTTTAATTCCCAAAATAGGAGTAATTACTGCCAAGTTTGGAAAATACTGGGATGTTTGAAGTTTGGTACTGCCAAAACATGACAGTAATTAGTCATATTTTGGGAATAAAAACATGACAGTCCTATTTTCAAACCTTTTTAGTCCTATTTCGGGTAATATTCTCTTTTTAAAATAGGTTCATTGACTATCTGAAGTTAATTCTTGAGTACTTTTGAAACACCAAATAAAGAAAGACAGAAAAGGAAACACATCACAAATCTGAGTGATAAAAAAATAAAAAAGTAATTTTACAAGAATCTAAAAGAAAGGATACTATTTGTAAGAACTAAAAACATATTTAAAATTTTATTATATTTCATTCCAATATGTGGAAGGTCATTGAAACAGAGAGTTAAACTAAAGGATAAATTTTTCCTTGTATAACATTGATGTCCAGAATTTTTGCACAAATGATCTCCAGGGGCGGAGCCAAGGCGTTGGGATGGACTGGAACGATACAAAGAATACTTTTTGAAAAAAAATTACGCATAATTTTTCACACCTAAAATAAATACATTTTTTTTTTAATTTGGGATAGGCCGGGGCTTAGGTTGGCCCTCTTAGCCCCTCCGCCCCTGATGATCTTGTGGGCAGTGGGCCTGTAAACCTCGAACGACCCTCATTGGTATTCAAACTAGTGTATGTAATGGTTTTTATTGTTATTATTGGGAAGTATGTAATGGTTTTTCACTTTTTTGTTTGTTCAAATAAGAAAAGTGAATCAAGTAGGTATACCCGTTTCTTTTAAATTTTTCCCACCATTTGAGAGTTAGAGTGATGGGCAAAAAGGGAGTGCACGACATGTCATAAAAGCATACACCAATAAATTCCCCTTTCGGGTTTATAAGTGGCCCGCCAACACCACCACACTGCAACAACACAAGAAAGTAAGAGAACTGCATATATATATATATATATATATATATATATATATATATATATATATATATATATATATATATATATAGTGCTCTTCATGTCAGGCCGGCCTGACGGGCTGCCCCGTCCGGCCGAGCCCGTTTGGGCACCTTCCCGGTGGAATTTTTTGATGAAATTTTTTGAGCATGTTCCTCGTCAAGTCTAGTTTGTCCATACCAAATTTCAGCTCAAAATTCGATCGGGAAGGTCGTCAAATGATTTTTGCAAGTTAACTGGTCCGGAAAATACATATTCCGGACCAGTTAACTTGCAAAAATCATTTGACGACCTTCCCGATCGAATTTTGAGCTGAAATTTGGTATGGACAAACTAGACTTGACGAGGAACATGCTCAAAAAAGTTCATCAAAAAATTCCACCGGGAAGGTGCCCAAACGGGCTCGGCCGGACGGGGCAGCCCGTCAGGCCGGCCTGACATGAAGTTTTCTCTCTCTCTCTCTCTCTCTCTCTCTCTCTCTCTCTCTCTCTCTCTCTCTCTCTCTCTCTCTCTATATATATATATATATATATATATATATATATATATATATTAAATTCGGAGGTTTCGAAGAGAGTAGCTCAAAGCTTTATATGTTGGTTTGTATCTATATATTTAATTGGAATGATGACTGAACATCAACAAAGTGAGTAAGAGTATTGAGACATAGAGAGCAGGAGATACTCTTATGATTCTGCAATTCGCTCTATAAAGTTCTTTATTGATTGATGCTGAAGCAAACAATCAAACAGTTAATAACTTTCAGAGTAAAGAAATCTTAATGAAAGAACATGCAAACTTAGTGTAAACTTTAAAGCTACTTACCTAAATTCACCAGGAGCAGCCATAAGTGCATATGGCTTTGCATGAAGTTTAAAGCTACTTACCTAAATTCACCAGGAGCAGCCAGCCATAAGTGAATATGGCTTTTTGCAAACAATTGTATGGATATTTTGTCTGTGTGGGAATCTTTCGTTTTGTCTGTATGTGAATAATTTGACTGTTAACATATATTTTCTATCGTTTCCACAGCACATAAAGTCCGTCTGGAGATGTGTTTTGTCTGTGTACGTATATGTATTGTCTGTCTATTATTCGAAGCAAAGTAACATTCATGATTCATAAGAAACTAACGTTTACATCGAACCCGTTATCATTCACACACATTATATTAATACGGGATAATAATGTTCAATTAGCCAAAACATAGTACATGACAATCTACATCAAACTAAGGTTTAATTCCAACCCATTATCATTCATCATTCCATAAATACGGGAAATTGAGGAATTTGGTCTGATCCACCATTGATGTCCACTGTAGAAACCTCCTTGCTTGCATATTTGGATTTTGACCTCGACTGAAAAATAAAAACAAATAAGTATTGTTTTGACATTAAAGTTGTGTGTAACATACATCTTTGTAGTTTGTAGATAAAGGTAAGTACACATTCACCTTTTGTTTCTTCTTTCCTTTTTCAAGTGGAAACCCTTTATTTGATTTTTTCTAGGCGCACCCTTGTGTTTTGATGTTTTTGGATCAAGAATTGCATTGGGATGATCAACATGGACACTTGTGCATAATTGGGGTATTTGTGTCATGGCAATGCATATACGTGAATTACCCTTTGAGCCAGTACAATCATTCAATTGCCCTTCCATCCATTGCATAACCATTTCATTTTTCCTCGTCATCAGCAATGCCAATTGCAAAAGCTTCAAACTTCATACACAACTTGTCAAACCGTTGTTGTTCAACCGTAGTGATCCACCCATCATAGTTTATTTTCACTCATGTGTATGCTCTTTTCAAATCCCATATCCATCTCCGCATTATGTATCGGTCGGGCAAGATGTCCACTCCGTTGCGCATTAGGACCGTAATCATATGTTTACAAAAGACACCTCTACATTCAAATAAATGACAACTACATTGACCTTCATTCAATGTATTGTCATATTCGACTATGTAGTTAGTTGTCTTCGCAAACCCATTAATTGGTTTTACTTCTTTCACATGAAACATTTTTCCATCTTCACATTCAAGTATGTCACAATAAAGCTTGTCGACTTCTTCTTCTTGAAATTCCTTAAACATCGCAAGTGTGTATAGTCCTTGTACTTGTTTCTCCATTTCAAATATACTAACACACGGTATCATTTTTGTAAATGATTTTGTGTCTGCATGAAACTCTTTTTCTGCCTTACATCTCAAAGCCCGACCATATTGCTCTAAAAATTGTTTGAAACTTGTTTTGGAGTGCACAAAACCATCAAAAAATGCGTTCATGCTCTCACTTCTTTGTGTGGTTGACATACCCACCCAGAATGTAGGTTTAAGGTAACAAGGTACCCACCATTGACGTTCGTTGTACATCACCCCAAGCCAATCATCATCTTGGAGTGCATACCTACGACTAGGGGTGGGCAAACGGGTCTTGGAACCGCGGTCCGGTCCGGGTAATGGCGCTTCGGGTCCAAAACGGGCCGGTTCCATTTTTTGTTCCCATAAAACGGTCCGGGTAGTGTCGGGTAATTTTTTTTAAGGAACCGGACCGGTTCCCAAATTTAAAAATAACGGGTACCCGGCCCGGCCCGTTATATATATTGTATATTAATTTATTAATAGTTTTGAGATAATCGGTTTTGAAATAGTTTTGTTTCCTTTGCTAGAAGTAGGATTTTAAATTGAGTTGCAGTAACATCCTTTTGTTTTCAAATTATTGATTAAATGATTCATAAATATCTTATTACTTTTTATTGTTATTGAATTATTCCTTTCTATGGAATTTAATTATTTGTTAAAGGTGATTTATTATATATTTTTTTATTATATTGTTATTAATATATATAAATTGTGCTTACCACCCACCATGTATGTGTCAACTTTGGCTAATACTGAAAATTTAATATAAAAAAATCAATCACTTTAATATGTGATGTTAGACAACATGTTTAAATACAAATATTAGAAAATATGTATTTTGGCTATGTTGCATATTTTTGGAATTTCTTTAATTGTTTGAAACTTATATACAAGAAATTATGGAGTATTGGACTTTTCGCTTGTGTTATATGTGCACCACTATGTTGTTATTTTGAAACTTGCTAATGTCCTATATTATTGATTATTGATTTTTGGAACTTCGTGAGTTTTTATTTCAAGACATGAGAATAGAACCTGTAAAACCCGGACCGGACTGACCCGTTTCAAACGGGCCGGGTAATTTCCGGTTCCTATTTTGAAAATTGTAATACCCGGACCGGACCGAACCGTACAATGGAACCGGCGGTTCCATTTTATTTTTCATTACCCGCCCCGACCCGGCCCGTGCCCAGCCCTACCTGCGACAATATAAGCAATATATGTTACACCCAAACTGTTAGTGTGTGCTGGACATAAAATGGTTGTCACGAACAAGTTTTGTCTATTAGTTAAGCATAAGTAATTATATTGTCCCAGACCCAAATGTCTGTAAAAGACAACTATTGTCTATGAGACAGAAACTATTACTTCACTCGAGACAGCAATTGTCTATCACAGACAACTTGAGTCTATTACATGCAAACAAGAACTACAGTTCACACACCAAATGTCTGTAAGAGACATCAAATGTCTGTTAGACAGAAATATTTAATTAGTATTCAACTAACGGAAGTATTGAATACCTTTCTATAATCGCTTTCCAACCAACTTCAAATGCAGCAGGGGTTTGTGAGTCGTATACTACGTCGTGTATTCCGGACATAATATCATCTTTATCGGTAAACCCTCACAGCTTTTACGGTAGCTTCTTCATTATGTGCCATAAATACCATCGGTGCCGCGTATTTGGGAAAACAATTTGAATGGCGTTTTGCATGGCGCGATCTTGGTCAGTAATAATTCCGTTGGGGGAACAACCGTTCATACATTCAAGCCAAGCTCTAAAAAGCCACACAAACGTTTGTGTATCTTCACTCGAGATTAGGCCACAACCAAGCAAGATTGATTGACCATGGTGATTAACTCCAACGAACGAGGCAAATGGCATATCGTATTGATTTGTAAGATATGTTGTGTCAAAAGTTATGACCATTAAAGTCCTTGTAGGCATATCAACATCGATTGTCTGCCCAAAACACATTCCGTAACCTTGATTCATCATCCAAATTAATCATAAAGAAGAAATTGGGGCATTGTGCTTGCATCCTACAAAAGAAGTCTTGAATTGCCATTGCGTCACCACTTCCTAATATAAGTTGCCGCATCTTATCTATGCAGTTCCTACAATCCTTTTCAATAAATGAAAGTTCTTCATATCCACCGGCTTTGACAACGGCGGAGTTGAAACTCTTATGAACTGATATTCCCACAACATAATTAATGTCAAGGTTTCTCAACATGTGCGTTGTCTACTTTCTATTACACCAAAATATCATTGCCTTCGTAAGATTCATATCATGATTATGCTCTAAACAGGACTTTGAAATTACCCATCCTCCGGCGTAATTTGTATGTGCTCTTATTCTTGCAAGGCAACCGACCTGCATTGAAGGTTGAGGCTTCAAAACATTTTGTGTCCGGCTGGGTCTACTTCCAGCACGGGCACACTCTAAGACAATCGCAATGGTGTTGCCTGTTTTTTTTCCTTGAAGTTCGTTGTCTAACAGGAAAGCCCGCTCTTCTGCCACAAGCTTTGTAGAAATCATAAACGGCCTCTTCACTAGGAAACTCCATACCAACATGGGGGTCTTCATTAATACTCTTTTCTTCCTCTTCGTCTGTTATTCCAAAAAATAAATACATGTTCGTAACAATTTTCAACAACACACAAGGTTTGTAATTGTTCATTACAAAAATAAATACATATTCTTTACAACATGTTGTATGTCCAGACAGACAATAGTAAACATAATTGTTTTTCACAACATTCTTGTGTACATTCAATAACACAACCACATGTCCAACACTTATACACACTTTTACATAACAACTACATTAACTATCAATACATACTACAAAACACTCTTGTACCAATACTTGAATGTCCACACAGACGTTATTTATACGCAGACAAACAAATGACATTGTCTGTCAGACAAACATTTTACATATGGGTCAAACAACTATCAAACTATGTTTCAGTAGACAGACATTGCACTTAAAACTTCTCTATTGGACAGACAACCCTTTTCATATCCAAAATACACCAAAAAATCAAGAAACCAAAATCAAGAAAATCAAGAAAACAAAACTAAGAAACCAACACATACTCAAGCCTTCGACCTCAGCACCTTGTTTGTCATCCTCCATTGAGCTACCATCCAGTTCAACGGCAACCGCCATACAACCATAGTCTGCACCTTCATCACCTAGCTCTCCAAAAGTGAAGCTATCCAAGAGTAAGTCATCAACACACTGGTTTGGCTCCATTGAACAAGAGTTTCAAGGGAGAAGATGAAGGAAATCACTTTCTTCGTTTCTCGTCACTATAGCTCGATCGTTTCTGCCGATTTTTTTTGGGCGGAAATACTTCCAGCAGCGCAGGGGAGGGAGGAGGGGGTTGAGAAGAGAGAAATATTTTGATGGGTGTAAATGATGGTAAAAGTGGGAGGTTTTTATATGGGGTGCCAAAGGTGTACACATTTTGGGTACACCTAGCAAAATTGTAAAATGATAACATTACCCCACCACTTTCTTTAAGTTTGGTCCACCATCACTTTTTGCAAAAGTCCGGATGTAGTTTTGTCAGGTCTTCCGGATGTGATCAAATCTATATAGAAGGATATAGTTAAATTGTAGTTTAAAATAGGGATTTCAAGTAAAAGAACAAAATGCACAAATAAATGAAAAAATTCTGAATAGTGAAATACTAGCATTAAACTTACACAATGAACCATCATAATCATTAATGCAAAATCTGTC